AAAGATATTAAATATCTTGAAATTATTACACCACATAAAATTATTAATTTGGCATGTTGCTGTGAGTGGTCGTGTTTTTGTAGCGCTGTGTTAAATCACGTTTTTAATAGTAATTACCGGGTATTAATTGCATTTAATTGCAATTGCTAAGACTTTGTGCCAATACCAGTGCTGTGGCTGATCATTGCTTCAAGTTTTACATTATATTTCATACCTCCAAATATGTTTATTCAGCAAACACAAACATGCAAAACCTAAGAAAAAGTGCCCGAAATATTTCCTCTCCACATCAAACTCCAATACAAACCAAAGACCATAACAGTCCAACAACGATCAGTTTGTTTGAGAAACTCGAAGCGAAATTAGAAGCATACACGAAGAGCATAATAGCAAAAATAAACGAAAGTGAAGAGCGTGTAATGCAAAAAATCAGTGAAATTCCAGCTGTATTTGCTAACCTCAAATCAACAGTGAAAATAATGGATGATAGAGTGAGCGCGCTAGAGCAGCAGCGAGGCGAAAATGGAGAACAAAATAAAAATGTTCTCACATTATGTCAGCACGTTGATGAACTGGAGAACGCGTTAGTGTCAACAGATGTAATTATGTATGGTGTCCCGCAAGTTGAAGAGGAGAATTTAGGTTCGATATTCTCTCAACTATGCAAAACAATTAAACTTTCCCCGCTTACCATCCGCTCTTCTTTTCGACTGCGCAATAACGCTAGCAGTAACAGCAAGCCCTCCCTTATTATTTTCAAACTAAATTCAGCATATGACCGCTCACTTTTGTTTAAGGCGATTGCTGATTTCTTTAAACCCAGCCGTAAATCGCTAACTCTCGACGATATAGGGATCAATGCTGAGGGGAAGTTTTTCGTCCACGAATGTTTAACGAAGAAGAGTCGTGAATTAATACATTATGCAACTAAGCTAAAGAAGCAAAAACGTCTGACGAGTGCATTTACGATTCGAGGGAACATTTATGTGAGAAAACATCCCGGCGGTGAAGCAGTTAGAGTACTGGATTTTAAAAGCGTCGATCGCCTCGCAGCTGCTATTTAAACAATAAGAATGAGAATCAAAATTAGAATGTTAAGCAAACTCGTTTCGCTGTTAGATGTAAAAAATTTTAAGATATTCTCTGTCTGTCTCTTGCCTGCCTTCGTTCTTTTTCTATTTATTCTCTTTTCTTCCTACACTCTCTTTGTAAATAGCCGTTTGCAAGCATCACTTGCATGTAACTGGTATGAACAGTGACGTTAGTGTGCGCACTAACAAAGATAGTTTGGGGCTAGCTCTTAAATTAACGGCCGAATACCATGATGGGCTCAATATTTGTCACCTTAATGCCAGAAGTCTAACAGTAGATAAACTTGAATATCTAAACTATATTTTTCATAATCTGAAAATTGATGTGATTTGTGTAATCGAGACTTGGTTCAAACCAGACATTGAAAATTCGGTCTATGCTCTGTGCGATTTTGCAATGGTAAGAAATGACAGATCGACTGGTTGCCGAGGTGGCGGAATAGCCATTTATTATAAAGCTAGTTTCAATTGCAGACTTTTGTATAAGTCCTCCCGCTCTGATACTGTTGAAAGTATATTTGTTGAATTCAGTGATAACGTACAAAAGTTCCTTGTTGTGTGTGTCTACAATCCCCAAAAATGTAATGGTCTGACTTTTCTATTCACTAAAATAAATGAGATGTCCTTGAGCTATGTGAATGTCCTCATATGTGGTGATTTTAATGTAGATATTTTAATAAACAACACCAGATCAAAGAATTTGTTAAATAACTTTAACGATAGTGGTATTACCGTCGCTAATAAATATGCAACTCGCTTTGCACCGCACTGGAGTTTTTACCTTGGGAGCGTTCGTCGAAGCGGCTGGACGATTCAACTGCAAGTCTCGGAGTCGACCTTCTAACTCGCCCATCTTAGCCTCGACTTTGTCCTGTCTCTCTTCGATTTTTTCCTGTATTTGAACAATCTTTGCATCCTGTGCTTCCAGTTGGGATGATATCTGTGCGGATACCGCTGCTGATATACGTGTCTCCAGCGCTTGTATCTGCGATGAAATATCTGACGACTGTGTTTGCATCTGAGTTGACAGCTGTGATGACATCTCTGATATGCGTGTATCCTGTGCTTGCATCATCTGTGACATGGCAGCCAATAACGTGTTCATGTCCATAACTGTTGATGACGAAGGAGCCTTTTGCTGTTCTTCAACCTTCCCGGATGTCTGCTGCACATCCTTCGACGAACATGCAGCCTCATCCTTCTGTTCGTCCTTTGCAGATGTATCGTCGGGTTTACCTTGGAAGTCGTATTTGTCCACGTCGATGCCTTCAGCTTCCATAGCCTCTCGCAACCGGGATAACAATTCCACTTTTCTTCCGGAGGTGGCCAAATTACGNTAACTCACCTCGCTGTGGCGGCGCCCTTATATACCTGCGCTGGCACTTATGGCAACTCTAGAACATTCTGAAGTTTATCGCTCATTCTCTTTCTCTCGCTGTTCGCAGTGTTCATCCAACTTGACGTTTCTCTTTGTGGAACATTCTACGTCGTTCCTCGAACATTCTGCCTATTTCTCGTTGTTCGCTTTGTGTTGCCGCAGTATTCGCCACAATATCAATAGGAAAAACAAAATATTTTTCTATTTATATTTACTTTATTTATTTTATTACATTTCATATTTGTTTACATATTCTGCTGTAGGTGCGCCTACCATGGTCCCATATTCGAACTCCGTCAGACATAACTACAAAATGATAGTATGAAATTTCGATCTTCCTTTTATTTGTCCTCAATTCGAAAAAGTATTTGCGAAGTGCACGATATTTAAATAGAAATGCGTTTAAAGAAAACAATCTCCTTCATTTCTCCTGCATTACTTGTCAACTAGTTTCAAGTTAGCTTTTTGTAGCTAACTACAAGTTATATATTTTATAAAAATCCCGCAAAAAAGCTAACTACAAGTGGGTTATTTTTTATCAATTGATAATATTTTCTGCAGGGAAACGCAAACTAATTCGCTGCCAGCGTCGCGACAGTTCATTAGCTGCGCACACACGACTTGTATGTGAAAGCCGAGTAGCTCCCGGAGACTCCCGTGTGCACCACTGTACTAAATACATACATCAAGGTTTATATATAAGAGGTTGCGCAATGCGCAGACTTCTAAATTTGAACGTATACTCTGTACAAGCAGGTGGGATGTATGGCGCAATAAACAGGTGAAGTAATAAAACAGCTTTCTCGCTTTATTTTCTGACATTCGGCTGTCTTATAGTCACATTTATAGGCATGTTTTCAAATAAGTGTCAAAATATTTCTTCTCACTCTAATATTACTTTATCTGGTATAATTCCGCCATGGACATTAAAAAGCAGCTTCAGAAGTGAACTAGTGTCATTTTATTATTATTATTTTTTCTAAACGGTTATAATGACAGCAGTGCATACTTGTGAAAGGAAAGTCAGGGGGGACGCGAGCGCGATGTCGAACGTGGCGTGGCACGGGGCGGCGCGCGAACGCGGACCGACGCGACGCTGGGCACTTTCAAAATTGTATACTTACAAATCCGTCCATTTAACTTGTTCATGTACTACTTTTTGTCAAATGTAACTGGTTGACTACCTACTAATGTGCACTATTTTGCCTTATTACTCATTAAGTTTAAAAGTTGGTCTTATTGCTCAACGAGAAACGAAATAAAGCAAATTTGTGTTATTTCACATTAAATTGGGAAATAACACAAATTTGCGTTATTGCCGTTTGTCTTATTTCACCCCCCATTCAGACTGTTTCTAAGAAATCTAATTAAAACGCTCAAAATTTTGATGAACCTTTGAAAAAAGTTTATAATAATTTGGATTACATGGTTTTGGTAGATAACGAGCTACACTTTCATAATGTAGAATAAAAATATGGGTACCAAATGCAAGAGGATATTTCTTTTGAATTTAAAAAAAATACAATTTTTGGATTCCCAAGGACGAATATGTAATTTTTTAAGCTGATAAAGTTAGATTGACGAAATACGAGGATTTTATCGAGTTTATATAATATATAACATATAATTTTTTTACAGCAAATATTGCGAAATTTCAAGTATAAAATTTTAAAATGACATTTTAATTACTATCTAGTTCTTCTGTACCAAAAAGTTGAATCTGTTTAAATTCTACAAGATTTCCTCATTAATTTTACGCCCATACTTGTTCTCTAAGCGCATTTCTCTGAATTTTTTAAATCACTTTTGAATTACTGACGTCAGAGTGAAAAGCTAAAAACGCAATTTTACTATATTTAGCCCAGGGTTTCGCGAATATATTGATATTTGTGTTTAAAATTTACTATCGCGCGGTGTTATATGTATAATGAGCTAGACATTTATAAAAAAATATTAATTATTAAATAAAAAAAGAAATATAGCCAATACTGGTCAAGAAAAGGAGTTTCTATTATTGCCAACAGTGCAAATTACAAATCCCGAAAATCCCGGGATTACTTGTCAAGAATCCCGGGATTTCGAGACCTTAAAAAGTCCGGGATCCCGGGATACCGTGATTAACATTCTTCGTAGCTAATATAAAACCGTGGCCAACTTATAACACATTTAAAAGTTCAGCTTAAATTATGTTTTACTTTCATAAAATATTTGTTCCAAAGAAGCCACACTCATGCATTTTCTCGGATATGGTATAAAAGTCGTCAATTCAAAGCTGTGGACTTAACAGCTGTCCACAAATATAAATATGTATGCAGTCTGTATGGCTTTTTACAATGTATGCTTTCACAAATTCACTTTGCTGCACACCTTCCGTTTGGTTTAGATGAATTTGCAAACATTGTTAATACATGAATTATTTCAACATCCGGCATGTGCTACATACCATGTCCAAAATTATTGCTACGCGTTCCTAATTAATTAATCTTTGTATATTTATTTATTCCTGCAAAATTGGACCATTTTTTTGAGACTAGCAATTAGTGACTATTTTTGTGACTTGAGATGATTTGGGTATTCAGTAGGAGAGGATCACAAAAAGTTCACCAAAAATATGTGAAAACAAACGCAGATAGTCCAGTGTTGACATTATTGGTACAATTGTACTTTTTTGATATAATTTCGCTTACAATATACTTTCCAACCACGCAGTACTTTTTCGTACAATTTTGTGATGAATACTATAAATATATAGCTCTGAAAATTTACTGCGGGAAATTTTTCTTTTCTATGTTTGTCTTAGCCTTCTTGTTTTTGCCTTTTTAAGTTTTGAAAAAAGGTTTGGAAGGAACCATTATAACATAGCACAAGGTGTGCTATCAACCTCACATTCCTAGGCAAGTTTTGAAAGAATATTTTCGATACTAAATCTTATTAAAACAAAATGTCGAAATCAGCTTTATAACAGTGTCATCGTTAATTAAGAAAGAGATGTTCTTAAATATCATAACTTTACGACACTCACAGATTGACTAGATTTGACTATTTATTTTCTTGTATTTGTCAATGTTATTGTGGCTTGTTAACATTTTATTTTTAATATTTTTATTGAGCTTTGTACCACGATTGTTTATTAGGAAAAATTGAAAGAGCAACAAAGTCTAAGCGGTAGAAGTTATAGCACTATTTTCGCCATTTTTACTAGTTTCTCCTTCGGGATTTATTTAGCAATCCCACTTCTGACACCAATTGTTACGATTATCCTTGAAACCTCGTCCGGATTTCCCAAATCTCTCGGTTCGTATCGCTGGATTGTTAAATAAATGCAATCGATGACCAAATTGTAGTACAATTAACTTTATTGTACAACAAACAATTTACAATACTCGCTAATACAGTAAAAACACTTTACAATACTTGTTAAAGCAATAACAGCGCTTAACTAAACTTGGTAACACAATTAAACTTATATCTTGCTTATTCGCAACTCGCTTCTCTGCTCACTTTACTTGTAGCTT